ACGAGTTTTTGCGGTGAATCTTTATTATCAGTGGCTTGCGTTTCGACTAATCGTCGTCTTCAGAGGCCTTCGTCTCACCATCCGCGCACAACGGGGTGTGCCGCGTTCTCTTATGTCAATAGTGCCAAAGGCAACTTAGTAGCTTTGCTAATCGAACAGAATTTCTTTCAAAAATAGATCAAATCCGATATTTGTGTGGATGAAAAACGGCTAAGGAAGGTGAAGTAGCATTCTCCGTCTTTTGAGCGTTCAGGCTTATCTTGCTTACAAATACAGTTCATGTAGAAAGGGTTTTTCGTATTCGGTAGTTACCCAAATTTTAGAGTTTGTAAGTTTTAGAGTTTGGTGATTGATGTTTTATTCTCGTTCAACTTCTTGCAGAAGCGTATTTTAAGCGATTCATATGCACAAGAAATTACAAATTAAAACTTTATGGTCATAGAACAATTCATGAACAGTAATTTGGGATTTTTTTGATTGTAAAAGTTCAATGTTCTGCTCATTTCAAATCATTTTCCCCTAGATCCATCACTTTCTTCAGAGAGTCTTTGTGCATCTTGTTTTTCCGCTATCTCAAAACCTTCTCCGTCCTCCCATTCTTCAGGCACATTCTCCTCAATGTATCCTTCTTTTTCCGTTGTTTCTACGGGCTGGGGTAACATATGCTCCCGAGATCTGCCTTCATCCGAGTTTATTTTAGGGTCACCCTGTAATGATTGCATCTTGTCAATGGCGGTTCCACCGCTTTGCGAAGGCGTAGTTGACGCTATTCCACTGAGTGTAATCGCAGGAGATATGAAAGGTGAAGTGTCCACCAGTTTTTTCTCGCTGCTACATTTTAAAGGAAGAGTTTCTATTGCCCTCTTTTCGGCACTCATCTCAATCACTGTTGGCTGCTTTGGCATTTCCATAGACCCAAAATCCTTTGCTGGGATCACTTCCTTCGATGGAACTTCTCTCTCAACTTCCACGTTCACTTCGCTGCTTACTTTGTGTGGAGTTATTCCCACAGCTCCTACCTCAGATGCAGCTGGTGTAGGTTCTTCTACTGGAGTTTCGTACTTTTTCGACTGCGATGTCAAGTAATCCGAGAGTGCCAACATCACCTGAAGAGGAAATAGTGAAGAAATGGTATATTTTTTCCTACAAACCTCCTCTCTCGTAGCTTTCTTCTTTCTCTGCTCCTTCAACTTTTTCGAACGTTTTTTCCTCTCTTTCTTTTCCCTCTTCTCTTGTTTTTGCTGCAATTATCTCTTATTTCAATTATTAGCGCAGACAGTCGTCTCTGCAGAACCTTCCTCCTAAACCACCGTTTTCTTCTTTTTGCTTTCTCCTCCTTCTCCATTTCAGCAGCCAACAGAAGCTTTTTCCTGCGGTTCTTTTGCTGTTTTAATGTAAAGCCGAGTATCACGAGAAGCACAAGCAAGAAGACCAATATAGCAGTGAATATTATAATTGCAGTCGAATAGTCGCGTTCTTCAGTGATGGGGCTGTAAAATGGTTTTATCATTACTTATTATAAAGCGTTTATTCGTCTGTATGTGTGTGTGTACGTGTGTGTG